ATCAGTTTCCCCCGCGATAGCTGTTTTACACACACTGCCTCACCAAAACGATGAAAGTGACAGGCACTTAAAGAAGGGGAAAGAACTATCCTGAAGCAAATCAAGTAATGCAAAACTGTCTCAGAAGTACATTTTAGAAGCCGAAGCGCCCCGTTCACGCCACTTCCCGTCAGGGACGGCTCCTGCCGGGCACCCACCACACGAGGGGCGCTGCCTGTGCAGCCGCCACCGCGTCACCCCGCAGCGCCAAGGGGCCTCACAGGGCGACACGCTCCTTCACCACACACACAGAGGACCCCGGCGGGCCGGTGACCGCAAACCCCTCGCAGGCCGTGGGCAAGGCGGCAGCGCGAGGGACCTGCCGGCGGGACTGGATTCGCAGGGACACCCCGCAGCCCGCGCGGGGGCAGGCCCCGGGCAGCGCAGGCAGAGCCACCCGCGGACCGTTTACCTCCGTCGGGCCCCTCAAGGCGGCGCGGCTGCATCGCCTCACGCGCGGAGGAGGCGACCTTACTCCGCAGGCACCAAGCCACGCACAGCACCACCGCAACCCTGCCGGTGCCCCGCTCAAAGCTCGGCGCCAATACCGACCCGTGCGCCTGCGCACTGCGCGCACCCGCGCTCCCGCCTGCCCCGGCCGTCCCGTCACGGGAAGGGGGTGGTGTCATGGCGACCTCTCGCGCCTTGTGTGGGGAGGGGTAGCTGCAGCCGACGCAGTGCGGGGTTGCTTGTAAGTGGGCTCCCTCCGTGCGCGCTGTCTCACAATACAGACAGGGAGCGTGCCGAGCCAAGGGACATACGTCCCTATAGATGTGAGGGGTGAAGTATCGCATCCAAGGGACACATCCATCCTCCTGCTTCACAGCGCTTAATACCAGCGTCCCAGAAAAAGGCTCCAGGAGCCCTGCAGTGAGATGTGCTACTGTGATGGAGTGTCACTGCTGTGGAAATCTTGATCTCATATGCTGACGAGGCTTATTAGGTTGATACTACAATGATGATATTAGAGAATATTATCTTCCACATACATGGCCATTCTTGTTTTGAGTCTTGATAAATTCTTGGCCTCAGCAACGAGTCCATAAAATAACTTCAAGTTGGGTGGAATACTCATATGTCACCTGCTTCAGGGTCTCTTTATACAATAATTTTTCCATGTCCCTCCTCCTTCCAACTAAATTATTGAATTTCTAACTGGGGAAGCTGCAGCGCCTGGTTCTTCCCAAAGCATTCAAATCTCTTGAATGATGGCATGTAGCCTCCAATTTAATCTCTATACCCCTCCCAAAGCACCTGAACAGTTTACTCTTTTTGTAGCCATGCTGCAGTCATTAAGTTTAAACTTGCTCATCTCCATACCCTGGTTTTCACTTGCTACAGGTAGTGCTTTGAAAATCCAAGCATAATGTGGAGCCTTGAGCCATCCTTCTTTCAACTGTGACGAGTGTTTCCTGAATCTTAACCTCCTGCTGATCCATAAAAATGCTGTTTCTACTGATTTATTTCAGACACTTGAAATGATATTTTACAAGTACGTTGTGAACTTTTAAAGACATCACCCCTACCAGGTCTTCCATAGCCCTGGTCTTGTTGGCCCACTGAAATTTTATAAAGCAATGAGGAGTTACACAACAAAATTACTTCACATCACAGCAGGTCCAGGGATTTGGGGATTCTGCAGTTTCTACATCCTCACAGACACAGTTTGGACGATTTAATTACATGATTTTAACTATATTAACTATGATATTACCTTAGAATTGAACTACAGTGATGTGATTATGGAAGAAGGACTGTTAGACTAATATGTACGTGCTTGTACTGCTAAAATTTATTTCATTATACAGGCATTAAGCCACTTTTCCCAGTATAACTGTTTTCCCCTCGGAGCAGTGTACAAGCTTGTCCTGGTTTCAGCTGCAACAGTTATTTTTCTCCTTTCTGGCAGCCAGTGCAGTGCTGTTTTGGCTTTGGTCTGGGAGCAACACTGGTAACACACTCATTTTTAATTGTTGCTCGGTAGTGCTTCCCCGATCCAGGACTTTGCAGTCTCTCATGTTCCTCCAGTGAGAAGGGGCACAAGAAGCCATGAGGAAGCAGAGCTAGGACACCTAATCCAGACTAACCAATAGGTATTCCATACCACAGCACCTCATGCCCAGTATATAAATTGGGGGAAGTTACCTAGAAGGGACCAGTCACTGCTCGGGTTGGGCTGGGTATCTGGCAGCAGGTGGTGAGCATTTGTACCGTGCATCACGTGTTTCTTGGTTTTTCCCTTTTAGTTTTACATTCTTTCCCCTTGTTATTTCCCTTATCATTATTACTATCATTATTAGTATTATTATATTGTACTTTTAGGTATTAAACTGCCTCAACCTTTGGGGTTTACATTCTTTCAATTTTCCTCACTGTCCCGCCCAGAGGGGAGAGGAAAAAAGGTGTGTGAGTAAAAGGCTGTGTGGTTCTGAGTTACCAGGTGGGTCTAAACCATGACAGCCCTTTTAGGCACCAAACATGTGGTGATATGGCAGAAGAAGTTTCTGAGAAAGAGAATAATTCAAATCCTTCTGAAGTCCAGTTTTGCCATAAAACAGAGTAAGCTCAAGGGACCTACACAGGAGATACAGTTTTGGGGAATAAAATGGCAAGATGGACATTGCCAGATCCCCACAGATGTGATCAACAAGAAACAGTAACGTCTCCACCCACTAATGAGAAAGAAACACAGGCTTTCATGGTGTTGTAGAGTTCTGGAGAATGCACATCCCAAATCAATCTGATTGTAAGCCTTCTCTAGCACATGACCCGGAAGCAGAATGATTTCAAATGGGGCCCTGAGCAACAGGCAGCCTTTGAACAAATTAAATAAGAGATAGTTCATGCAGTAGCCCTTGGACCAGTCCAGACCAGGCAAGATGTGAAATATGTGCTCTACACTGCAGCCGGGGAGAATGGTCCTACCTGGAGCCTCTGGCAGAAAGCTCCAAGGGATACTCGAGGTCAGCCCCTCGGCTTTGGAGTCCAGGATACGGAGGATCTGAGGCCAGCTATACTCCCACTGAAACAGAGATACTGGCAGTTTATGAAGAGGTTCGAGCTGCTTCAGAAGTGGCTGGCAGTGAAGCACAGCTCCTTCTGGCACTCTGGTTGCCCATGTTGGGCTGGATGTTCAAAGGCAGCGTCTCCTCTACACATCATGCAACCAATGCTACATGGAGTAAGTGGGTCGTACTTAATTACATGACAAGTTCAAATAGGAGAACCCAGTTATCCAGGAATTTTAGAAGTCACCATGGATTGGCCAGAGGGCAATGCTTTACCTCTATACTAACTCATGGATGGTGGCAAATGCCCTGTGTGAATGGTTAGGGTTAGGGTTACAGTAATGGAAGCAGAGCAACTGGCAATGCAGAGGTAAACTCATCGGGGCTGCTGCACTGTGGCAAGATATCGCTGCCCGGGTGCAGAACCTGGTGGTGAAGGTACGCCATGTAAATGCTCATGTGCCCAAGAGTTGGGCCACTGAGGAACACCAGAACAACCAACAAGTGGATAAAGCTGCTAAGATTGAAGTGGCTCAGTTGCACTTAGATTGGCAACATAAGGGTGAATTATTTTTAGCCTGATGGACCGGACACCTCAGGCTATCAAAGCAGAGATGTGACATCACACCCCAGATAGAATTTGGACTAATTTCTGGAATAACCTTATAGACGCTTGGGCCAAAGAGCACAGCACTGAGTGGGTATACCACATCCCCTACCATGCACCACCTCTGGGGAAATCAAATGGTACGGTGGACTGCCAAAAGCTACACTGAGAGCAATGGGTCGTGGGACCTATAAACATTGGGATACACATTTAGCAAAAGCCACTTGGCTAGTCAGCGCTAGAGAATCCACCAACAGGGCTGGCCCATCCCATTCAGAACTTTTACATAGTGTAGAAGGGTATAAAGTTCCTGTGGTTCACTGCTGGGAAAGACACTCTGGGTTATACCTGTTTCAGATAAAGGCAAACCCATTTGTGGAATTTCTTTTGCTCAGGGACCTGGTTGTACATGGTGGATAATGCAGGAAGATGGGTAAGTCTGGTGTGTACCTCAAGAGGATTTAAATTTGGGTGAAAACAGCCAATGAATTCAATTATATGCTGTTGCCTCCTATGTAACACTTCTATAGCCAATCAGCTAGATGTCCATCTCCGCCACTCTGGGCTTTTAAAAGAAAGTATGTGCTGTCATGATCATCAGCAGAGAATAAAGTCATGGGAAAAGCCTGCAGCAATAGCAGATTGAGTGTGTGCATTTGCTCAGTTGTTGGAGTTTATTGCCCCCCCCCCCCCCTTTTTCTTTTTCTAAGACCATAAAGTGAAGGAGTTGGGAGCAAGCAGACTTCCCCTCCCCATGAAAGCTATCGTTGTCCCAGCTGTGACTGAATTACATCTGTTCACCTTTTCAGGGTCTTCCAGAGATGCACTACTTTTTGAGCACTGATTACTTAGCTCTCTCAAGATCTTCACCAGTGTACAGCTACATAAACAACCAAGGCTTTACTCAGCCCTGGACTTGTTCTTGCAGTGTTCAATGCAGTCATGCAGCCCCATGGCTGTTTCCCACCTGAAATTGGAGATGAAGGCCTCCATCAGCAACACAAGCCAGCCTGTGTGGGTGGTGCACAGCTGCAGGCCAGCTCGGTGCAGCCCTTGGCCAGACAGAGCCATTGATGAGGTGATGATGGGACATCCTACCCGTGATGGTGGCACAGGGCTGTCCCATCATGGCCTGCATGCCCAGGCTTCTGCACTCTGTTCCTGGAGGACCATCAACTCCTATTTGTGCCCAGCTCTAGGGGCAGGGATAAGAACAGGTCTACAATCCTCTCTGTCATCAGCCCTCCACCGGGCTGGGGCCAATTTCCCCATCAATTAGCATCAATTAGTAGCAGCTCTCAAGATAAGATAAAAGGCAGGGCAGGGGGAGAACTAGGGCTAACTTTTCTGTGGTTATGATCATGGAGGGCTTTGTCTATTCCCCCTTCAGCACATTCTCCACTTTCAGGAGCAGCCTCACGCCGAGCCGCAGCGGGGATTCGGCAGTGAAGCAGCCCAGCTGGAAGCAAGGCAAGAGCGGCGGCATCAGCCCTTTCCTCGGAGGGCCTCTCACCCCTATGCCCTCCGACTACCTGGACAGCTGCCGCCGGGCCCACCTCCAGGCCCTGCTGTCTCAGATGAGCCCGGGGCTGGCGCCGCCACTGCGCCGGACCAGCACCCGGGAGGCTGGCGTGCAGGTGAGCATGCGGGCCGATGCCGCGGTGCAGTGCTCGCTGGGGCCGCGCACGCTGCCCTCCGGCCGCCCGCTGAGTCCCGTGGCTCGCCGCGCCCTGGGACACCTTGCCCTCTACTCGCCCATGACGGACAGGCGCCTCTTCACGCTGCCGGAGGCCGCCGCACCCCAGGAGAAGGAGGCAGCGACTGGGACGACCGCCGAGGCGCAGGCGGTGGAAGATGACAGCAGGCAACAGCAGGAGGGGCAGGCTGAGGCCGCGGGGCCGAGCACGGAGGCGGTGTTCCGCCGACGGGCTGTCTTCCAGGTGCGCAGAGGGGCTTCGAGGCCCGCTCCGGGCAAGAGGCGGGGAGCGAGCGGAGCAGCAGGGTGGAGGGAAACCTACCCCTAGGGAAGGGCACAGTGGCCTCCTGCCTGGCTTCCCTCTCAGGTCGCTCATCACTGGCAGGGCTGGAACTCCCCAGCAGTCTCTTTGCAGCAGGGAGCCTCCTGGCTGTGAGAAGAGGCGGTGTAGCGAGGGAGCGGGTTGGGTGTTCTTGTGGTGCTGGAGCCCGCTCATGAACTTTCCCTCTGCAGTTTTTGGAGCAGAAGTATGGCTATTTCCACTGCAAAGAATGCAAGACCAGATGGGAGAGTGCTTATGTGTGGTGCATTTCTGGAAGCAACAAGGTAGTTAACGAGCCATTTCTTGCCTCTGAGACTTGTAACATGGTCACCAATTCTGTGACAAATTGGATGCTTTGTCACAAATTTAGGTACTGAACACTCTGAGTAAGTCTCTGTAGTAACCAAGGACTTGTTTGTTGTTTTATTTTTTTTTTCCAGGTGTACTTCAAGCAGCTATGTCGCAAATGCCAAAAGGCCTTCAATCCCTATCGAGTGGAAGCAATCCAGTGCCAGGTGAGTTGCAGATGTCAGTATCCTGGTAAAACTGACAGAGACTGTCATAAACTCTAATAGTTTACAGTTGCTGAATTATGTTCTGACTGTCTTTGGAAGAAAATTTGCTTTTGTCAAAGTACTGGGAAATGGTATTTGGGAAAGGTATAAGGGGGTAGGACTCCCTCTCCTGCAGATGGCTTACATGAGTGGTTTTCTGTTCAGACAGTACCATGCCCAGCTACATGAAGGGTTGTGTGCTTCAAAGTGAGAGGGTTCTTACAGCTCAACTGCATAGAGTTTTTACCATGATCTTTTAAGTGTATTAGCTCAAACGTGTTGCTATGATTAATGAAAACAAAATATCACTAACATGAAGTGAGCACTTTTGACTACTACTACTAAAATGTCTTGTTTCCTAAGACCTGTTCAAAGACTCGTTGTTCCTGCCCTCAGAAGAAAAGACACATTGATGTCAGGAGACCTCATCGCCAAGAACTCTGTGGCCGCTGCAAAGGCAAGAGGTTGTCCTGTGATAGCACTTACAGCTTCAAATACATTGTCTGATCTGTGTGCCCTCCTTATGTTTTGTGCTTTCCTCTTTGTCAATCTCCTACAATGTTTTGACTTTAGGCTTTTGACCTGGCATTGGATAATGGATAAAGACTTTTGTACTATTTATAAAATACATAACTTAATTGTATATATGCTGTGAATAAAGTCCTAGAAGTGTGCTATCCCTTAGTTGCATCTTGCTGGATGAGACAGGAAAGTATATCTGGAGGGAAACGGAACCTATCTGATTTCCTAAAGCAAGTAAGTTTTGTGTGTAGTCTTCCTTTAGGGGATTCAAAGATTAAAACTGGTGTTAAGAGTTTTTCCTTCAGTCACTCAAACTGAACTAATGTGGAAGATGCAAATGTTCTGGAGCATAACATCTGGGGTAAATGTATGTGTGTCTCTTCCCACTGACTCTGTATATAAAAAAAGGCAGTTTGATAAAAAACTGTATCCTAGAAGATTATGCCTGTAACAGACACTCTTCCCTTATATGTCCCACATGTCCTCCAAGTGAGCAGGGAAAATACTTTTTGAGCTGGGCTGTCTGTGGTTGTGTAACACATTTTCTAGGCTTAATGTGCCCTAAAAAAGGAAGAACAAGTCCTGGTGCCCCAGTTCAATACTAGTTTGTTCCTCAGAAGTTTTCTTGTCATTTAATGTACCTCCAGCATAGGTGGCTTGAATGTAATTGGAGGGAGCAACAGTGTGCTTTCATGGAGACAAAATGTGTTTGGGGGAATCCTAATTAAAGTCCCAGTGTGGCAGAAGCACAGTGGGGTATTACTGCAGTTCGTATTGTCCTAGGGCTTCTGTGAGGTTTTGTTGGGAATATACGGATTTCTGCTCTGACTAAAGTTTAGAAATGATGCTGAGAAAGGTAAATGGCTACATGACAGCTTTTGTTTTATCTGTGAAGAGCCATAGAATAGGGTAGAAGGAACCTCTGGAGCTCTTTATACTCAGTGGAGGAGAAATATAATGAAGTTGCTTAATGGATCATACTCTATGTCCAGGACAGTAATGAGGGATGTATACTGGGTAGTCTGTCTTGTTCAACATCTTCACCAGTGATCTGGAAGAGTCATGAGTGTATACCTGTCAAGTCTGTAGGTGACATCAAACTTTTCCTGTGACTGTGATCTGTAAAATATCCATGATTTTGCTGAGTGGCAGAGCAGGTCTCAGCTTTCACCAACCACTAAAACGTTTTGCAGACCACCCCAATTACAGTTCTGAATAGCTTTCAAAAGTGAAACATGCAACAGAAATCTGAAGACAACTTTAACCATTGCAGATTATTTTACTCAGAAAAATGGCTGTGTGATTTGCCTTGCATTTACTTTGACCTGCAACTGTGCTGCAGAGCTGTATGGACTGCAAAACTATGAAACCTGTAAAAGAAGTTGATTCCACCCTTTTGCATCAGTACTTTTTCAAGATTCACATACAGTGGTGGAAAATGAAAAAGGGGTGCAAGGGAGAGGGCTTTACTGCATTCCCAGAGGTGAGGCTGAGTATCAGGCTGGACAGCTTTTCTTTTGCATTTAGTATAAGAAAAAAACCCACCCAAACCCAGAACTGGAAAGAACAGGACCATTACTGATGTTTTTAACAGAAACAAACCTTCACCTCTATTTTGGTGGGGTTTTGGTTGGGTTTTTTTGTTTGTTTGTTTGTTTTTTTATGAAACTGCTTTAGTCAGTGTCCTCTTCCTGGATGAGTTGCAACTACAGACTGACAATAAAGCCCTTGCATTTCTCACTGGTATATTTCAGTGTAATGAATGGTTTCACCATAAGTGATGAAAAGGTGTCTTGGGGCTGCTGATCATGGATACCATCTGCAACAGTAAAGATTCAGACAAGAACACAATCTTCACACGAAGCAGATACTCTGTTGTGATTATATATGACTTTTATATTTTAGTTAAATGGATGTACTGATCCAAATATCAACCAAAGTTACTTCACAAAAACGGTAAGTGTATTTACAGAGTTGAATAAGTTACATAGTTGTCAGAATAAAAGTGTCTCAGATGTGCAACAGATTTACATGCATACATTTAACACTGGACAGCAGTTAAATGTAAGAAAAAAACCATACAGGTATGACTTTTATATATACATTACAAATAAAATAAGACATCTCTTTAAAGAAACTTAACATGAGAACTTGCATTTCACGTTAATATTTTTACTTTTTATACTCAAAATTTATATTAAATAAAAATATGCATGCATAACAGTTCAAAAGATTTGACTCTGTGATGGGACTTTCTCCTACAAAATGGCAAGTTAAATTAGATCAACCATCCTTTAATAGTATAAATATATTCATAAAAGCAATCCTCTAGTAAAAAGCAGCCAAGGTCCATTAAAAAAACCAACAAAAAAAGAAAATCTACCAAGACCATTCATGATGCCTGGGGGGCCTAAGAACAGACCTTTGCAATATGATCCAGTACCTTCAGAGACAGTAGCCTAGTAACATTAGGAAATGTACTTCATAGCAGCTCGTTGTTTTAAGATACAGTATTCATATTCAAATTACAGTGTACATTGAACTGTAGTCCATTTACAATTTGTTTCATATACACAGGCTCTCAGCTTTTGACCAACAAGTTTGTAAGATTCTGTGGCCAGCTTCATTTTGCCCATCTTTCACTCAACCAAATAAGAGAAAAAAGGAAAAAATGTACAAGTTTTTAACAAAAAATATTATTTAGTGAAGGAAACATTGCACTTTTGCCAACCTAAAATTAATTTGCTATAAAGGAAGTATTGTTCAGTGTAGTAGGCTTTGGTATGCAATGGAAGTCACTTCTTCAGTAGTGAGTTGCAATTGCTCAGTGAAATGCTAACTGATTTTTGTGCAACGCAGAACAAAGGATGTTGTCCCAGATGCTCTATGCTACCTTTGTCCTTACAGTATTGCTACACATTTGAAGTTCAGCCCATCTCTTTTTAGAAGAAATCCTAAATGTAACAAGAGTGAGTACAGTTTGACCAAACCTTTGTAAGGCTGAGAAGACATTGAGCCACCTCACTCCAACAGGGCAGCACTCCCAGCTTGAAATAGGACACAAGAGTCCTGTCAGAGACTTGTGCCGGAAATGCTGGAGTCTGGAAGAAAAGTATTGATGACCCGATAACTCTGAGCTCTGCGGATCATGTCACGGATCTCTATATTCAGTTCCATTAATTTGGTACAGATTTCAGTCAGGCTCTGGTTGGAGCCCACCAGTGCATAGGTGCCCGTCTGACCCAAAGTTTGATGCCTGAAGTAAATGTTCAGTAGTGTCTGGACTTCATCGTCAGAGCTACTTCCAAAGATATCATTGGGCCACAAAATCCTGCGATCAAACAGGAAGAGAATATGTGTATATTAGCACAGCACAGATGGAAGCCAGGTGATAGAGGTCTCTAAAAGGAGAACTGACTCATACATGCTTATAAGCCGAAGCCACTCACTGGTTTATGCTACTCATTTGTTACTGAGTCTGTTATCAAGCACTGAAATCACATAAAAGCACAAGTCTTGCTATCTAAAACCCAAAAAGTTTAAGAAAACTCATTCAAATAAGTGGAACTGGGCTGAATGAGCTGTGATGCCAGTGATATTTACCTATAAGGAATTAGTTCTGTAAAAATCTTAAGAGCCTCACAGAAGTACTTTTGACCTATGCAGTGTAATTAAACACCTTAATTGTTGCAAGCATACAAGTTTGTATTACTGATTTGATACTGTTACTTGTGGCACACTGCTGCAAAAGTTAGTAATATCAATGCCCCCATGTACCTTCTTGAAACATTCAATTAATTATGCTGACTCAGCACATTACATTTAGTATAAAGTTAGGAAGGTAATAAATGTATACTTTTCTAATAACATGAAAGCCTAATACGAGCCATGTAGGAAAACTTGCCTGCATTCTCTTATTTGGCGCACGGCTTTAACAAGTTCATTGTTTTTCAAGCACTCCAGCATGGACTGAATAGCTGCTTCTGTAGAATTGAATGTGGGCTCAGATTCCATCGTCAGAGGCTCAGCTGCGATTGCAGCAGTAGCATCCTTCAGGTTTTTCTTCAACTCACTCAGTTCTCTTGACATATTTAACAGCTGTTGCAAGGAGAAAGATGAGAGACAGGTATTTTCATTCTCCACAGGCACCAAAGACAGTAGCTATTTTAAGCCTGTACTATACTGGATGTATACATTATGGAAAAGATCCTCTTTTAACATAAAGGCATTTCTTGACCTCTGAGCTCTGTACAATACAGGGAAGACACAAACTACAGATTTTTAAGCTTTGTGCTTCCTTTAACCCTATACTGTATTTTTGGTTTGCTAAATGCAAGAGTACATCTAAACAATCTTTTATTTTTCACCCCTGCTACTTTTTTTCAGACCATAGTGGACAGTTTAAGAAAACATAGACTTCTCCTAGCAATGACGCTGTAATTTATTTACAAAACACGTGCAGCACCTGACATGATTAACAGATGGACAGGAACTGTATAACCCTCTGTCAGACTTGAAAGTTCACATGGCACAGGACTCATAAGTAAGTTAACAGTTAATTTCTAAAGTCTACCTTTTCATGGTCATACATCCTAAAAATAAGCACTCTCACATGAACTAATGATGGAACTTCCTTTCAGTAACAGCTTAAGGCTCCAGCAAAATATGCAAATTTCATGGTAAAATAGCTCTTCCCCATATTATTGTTTTGCAGTTTCACAGGCTGCATTATTTATAAAATTTCTAACCGTGAAATACAGTTACTGAAATCAATTCTTTTATAAGGAACACAAAATATTTCTAAAACTTAAGACTATTTTAAGATGCCTCCTGTCCTGTGTTCTCTTAAAAGTGGACATCCTAGTCACAATGAGCCAGCCTTCCAAACAGTGCCTTAAGATACAATAAATATTCAAGCTATTTGTACTGCTACAGCATACCTGATAAAACAATTTCTATTTAGAGAGACTGTCTAAGCTATTTGAATATGTCATAAAATACATTTATAGCTTCAAATTTGTTTTACAGCTACAAAGTAAAATAAATTCTTCCCCTCAATAGTTTAAAATATATACACTTTACCAGGA